ATTATAAGTTATTTAGCATGTTAAATATGTATAAGGGTATTTACGTAATAAAAAGGTATATTTTTTCAACTTTATAAGATTAAATATATTTTTCAAATTTTTATTAAAATTTAGAGTATTTCTCAAAATCCCCCTAAAAACTATTATACATCATGTAATATTAGATTATAGAGATGTGTTTGTACATGTCATTCTAATTGTTTCATATGTTTGTTCAATTATCATCAAAACTACAATAATCTACAAGCAATTTAATAGTTTTAAAATACAAACTAAATGTTGCAATATACAAAAGAGAAAATTGGATTGTATACCTTATTGGAAATTTAAAATCTATACCAAATTTATTAAACTTTGAAAAATATTCTATTTTGTTATTTGAAAAATATCCTTAGTTAAAGAAAAAACTTAGAAAAAGAAAATGATTTGATTTTTCCAACTTTTATTTCAAAATTGATTTATAATCTTTAAAACTAATATATCATCTATTAATAAACTAATAAATATATATATTTTTTTAAAACCTTAGGGTTTCAATTGATTTTGTAAAGATTCTAGATAAGAATTAATTTAAATTATAATATAGTTTAAGTACAAATAATTTTAATTACAATATAATAATTTAAATAAAATTACCAATTGAATAAAATAAATTAAAAATTGATTTTAATTAATTTTATAATTTACAATTTAATTAATTTATATAATAATATGTCAAGTCGATGAACATACAAATTAAGTCAATGATTTAAATAAGTTGAAAAAGTAAAAAAGTCAACCAACCAAAATATAAATCGATAGTTTAAAATAAATCGATGGAATAAAAAAGTAAGTCGACGAATTAAAACAATAAGTCAGTGATTTAAATAAGTCGATAACTTAAAATGTCAATCAAACGAAATATAAGTCAACAGTTTAAAATAAGTCGATGAAACTGAAAATTAAGTCAATGGTTAAATAAGTTGATAAAGTAAAAAATCAAACAAATGATAATATATGTCAACAGTTTAAAATAAGTTAATGGAGCTGAATATTAAGTCGACAAAAATAGAAAAATAAGTCAATGATTAAACAAGTCAACAAAGTAAAAAATCAATCAAACTAAATATAAGTCAACAGTTTTAAATAAGTTGACGAAGTAGAATATTAATTTGGCGAACATAAAAAATAAATCAATTGTATAGATAAATCAACAAAGTAAAAAATCAACCAACCAAAATATAAGTCGACTGTGTAAAATAAGTCAATCTTTATTTTTAATTTAATAAAGAATTTAGCTTTTAGATATTAATTTACTAACAAAATATTTTTAAAAATAAACATTAAATATGAAACTAAATTTCGACTTTACATTTAATAATTTTAAATTATTCTTAAGTTATATAGTAAGTTAAATATGTGTAGTGGTATTTATGTATTTTTACATAACAAAAAGTATATTTTTTTAATTTTACAAGATTAAGTGTACTTTTCAAATTTTTATTAAAGTTTAGGGTATTTATCAAAATTCCACAAAACCTTAATAAAAATTTCAATAAATTTTCTAAAACAACTCTTTTTAAAATCGTATTTTGAAAAATATCTTTTACCAATTTATAAATGTTAAAGTCAGGACACATGCGTATATGAAACAACCATATGTAAAAGTAGTGCTAGCTAGAGAGTGATAATTTCGACAGTATGTATGTTCTAAATTCTAATGGTATTATTCCGTAAAAGATCGATAATTAAACAAAAGGATATATAATATTACCAAAGAGTTGAGAAATGGTCTTGAAGCTCTTGAAAAGCCGGTTAATACCGGTAGAAATATCCGGTTTAGAATCCGCTAGGAACTTGAATACATTCTTCATATTTTCTTCCTCTTCTTGATCACGAATTTCTTTTGAAAACACATCAAGAGATCACATAGAAGGTACATGAGATATCGATTCAATATATACAAACATATACAAAAATACTTAAAAGAGAGAGAGAACCTCGAGGCGAGTGATGATGATGAGGCTTAGAGAGAGGAGATAAAACGGCAACACTTGAGTCGGAGATACATCCTATGGAGAAAGGAAGCACGACAAGTCTCTCCATTCTATCTCTCATTTTCTACCAAGCCTTTCCTTTTAACATACT